GGGGGGGGGGAATTAGAGCTTGATTTCCAAGCCAAGGGTGACTGTTATCAACATAACTGTGCTGCCTCATCTGGCACAAAAGGTTGTAAGATGAATACTCTCAGTGGGATGATTATTCAAAACCCAAAAGCAACTATACAGATATTGAAGAACAGATGTAAATTATTATAGTTCAGTTTTTTAAATTAGGCTTTTTTTTTTCCCCCCCCCAAAGAGCCAGGTGTTAAACATTTACCAGCATACCGAACATATTGGCTATACTGCCAAACAGCCTACTGACCAAAACCCTAGAATGCTCTAGGACTCAGCCAAGATATTTTATAAGAGGAACGGCCAAGCCCTGGCGGGCGTGCTTCAGTTGGTTAGAGCACCATCCTGCGCCGGAGGATGGCGACTTCAGTTCCTGCTCAGGGCACACACCTAGGTTGCAGGTTCAATCCCGGTTGGGGCGCATCAGGGAGGCAACTGATAGATATTTCTCTCTCACATCAATGTTTCCCCCATCGCCCCCCCTTTCATCAATGAAAAATATATCCTTAGGTGAGGATTAAAAAAAAAAAAAGGAGTAATGGTTAAGTAGAATATGGTTAAGTTTCTACTTTACCTTCAAGAGAAGCCAATGGAGAGTAATAACTATTTTTCACATATCTTTTCTCAGATGTCTTTTCAGATATCTTTTAAGTGTTACTGAAAATCACATGGAATCACATTTTACTTTGAGTGAAGTAACACAAGATTATTCATCTTTCCAGTATTTAAGGATAGTCTCTTTGGGCATACCTTTAATGCATATGCTTACTACACTTATCTCGTGCAATTATATCTGCTACAAATCATAATAATGAGTTAAGAAAAAATAACAGAGCAAAGGCATGGAATAAAATTAGAAAGCAGTTACCAAATACATAGATGGAGAATCAGTAGAGAGTAAGAATTTACATGAAGACAAGTGAAGGATGCCACACAAAGTTACATCCATCAACTTACAATCATTACTAAACAGTGGAAAAGTTTAGAGTTCTGAAATTTCTATAAAACCCAGTGTTCCAGAACACGATGAAATAAATGAACTTATTTAATATTTTCAAAAAATAAAGCATCTAAGTATCTTGGCTTTAATAAGTAACAAATAATAATTGAATATAAAGTGAAGTGTATTCCTTCTCAAGTAAGCTGTTGGGTCCAAAACCCATTGAATCTATGCTCTTACCGTTTTGTGATCATTAACAATCATAAGTTCCAAATATTTCATTTCTTCAAACACACCACGTGATGGCTGTGGAAAATAAAAGTATATGGTCAGAGGTAATAGCACCATCTCTGAGGATGACTGTTCAGTTGTAGATTGAATCTGAATTTCAGGAGGACTCTTTGCTGCCTATTGTATCAACACCCTTGAAGAAACTTGCTCGGGGAAATAGAAAAAAATGACCATAAAGTGTGAGTAAACATTCAAGTATTCATAAAAGAACTATATTTAACTACCATTAAAGAACTCATCAAGATGGAGAATGGCTCGTGTTGTTTTTATATGATTTATACATATAAATATTCTAGAGAAAAATGTAATTATAATTCTGTTAAAATAAACAAACTCAATTTCTTTGGCATTGAGATCCGATTAAAAATTCACATCTATTTAAAAGGTCAAGGAGAACCTATGTAAAACTCATTTAACAAGAATAGCAGAGTATATCTAGAAAAAGTACCAATGTAGTAAAATAGAAATCTTAACTCAGTGGAGTGAAATTCTAATAATAATGTACTAATTCTTAAACATACAACTTCTCACAGGAACAAACATTAACAATGACAATATTCTAAATTCTTCCAAATTTTTATTATTACTATAGAATCCATTAAGAGCAAGGGCTAAATATTTTAGCCATTATTTGGACTTCTATTTCTTTTTCATAGTAGAAAACTACAAGAGCATTGATCAGTTTATGTTTGCCAGGGGTGGACTTTAGTGAAATGTCATTAGCCTATATAAAACTTATTATTACCAACTAAATCTTCAAGAGTAAGCAAAAATATAACTCTAATTTCAATTGAAGGAAAAAAAAAAATACACCCTCATCCATAATCACCACAATACAAAGACAGGATTATAAAGAAGAAGATGATTTAACCTGCAACTAAGTTTTTGATGTCTGGAGGTGTAATTTTTTTCACAAAAAAATACATTCACCAAAACATTACCTAAAATGTGCAATTTCCAGTATAATTACTCATTAAGTTATCTAGTAAATTACCATGTAATCTATATGCTGTGGAATTAATTCTTGGTTACATAGCATTCACCATGTAATTACTAGATAGTCCCGATCATTACAGCTTTCTAATCTATTATGAAAAAGACTAGGAACATAATTTCAGTTACAAAGCCTCTATACATGTATCAATACATGCGAGCCAAAAGACAATTGTTGATTATATAATTACATGATTCTTATTTAGTAACTATCACAATATTAATGGTCAAATAGATCCATTCTGTTCAGAAAAACACATCCAGCTTCAAAGTCTGGTATAAGAGAGTTTTTAATTTGAATGAAATAAAAATAAGTATGACTAGCCAAAATTTAAAAACCTAACTTCTTCCCCTATTTCTCTTGTTAACAGAAATGTTTTATATAATGTCATATAAGCCATATTTTTAAAAGTCTGGTATATTATCAGTAGGGAAAAATGCACTGCAATTTTCATTTGAAAATACAGCTAAAACAATACGTTCCTTATGTGACATCAGGATTCACAGAACACCATAATCAGTTTATTGTCGCTAATCGGGAAAGCTGAATAAAAAGCAATATGCCTATAAGACTCAATATATAGGGGTTCTGGGGGTTTCTGGTTTGTTGTTTTTGTGTGTAAGAGGAAGTTGCCCAATTCCAAAGTGTTTTAGGTACTTAGCTACTGTGTGATCACAGGCAACAATTTAACGGAGTGAAATGGCCCCCCTGCGGCTCAATGCCACACTCACATTCACTGCTCTCTTTCTTCTCCTTTTCAACCACTGTAATTCCGACAGAAAGGGCCACTGATCACTGCTTTCCACACCTGAGTAAAAGAAAAAGGAATGCCAGAATTTATGCTCGACTATACTTCAATGGGAGTATGTTTTTCAAATATTATACGAAGGAATAGCAGCCCGGATAGTATATTTCATCTCAAACTAAAATTAATGTGAAAAATTTATTCTCATTAAACACTTTACATTCTCACAGTCACAAATATAATTCAATTTGTAATTAATAAATTATAATATAATTCAAACATAATTTTCTTCCAAGCATCAACAAAAACACAAGTTGTTCAAAACTCATTGGAATATGCATATTTGACCTACAAGCACCTGACACTCAATATCTGAAAATTTAAGAGAATTCTACTATGCTTCATTCATTTTAGAATTAAAAATAATGTATGCCATAAGCTTTTGCTTATAAATTACTAAAGACTTTTAGCATCAGTATACAGCAGTAGTAACATCACGTATTGCAATAACCCAAAAGAAGCTTTTGCAAATCAGCATGCTTAAGATGCGTCAGGACCAGAGCACAAGAGAGAGTCAATGCAAGTTGGCTGAAGAAGAGTAAACTGCCAAGGAAATTTAAGGATGAACCTCACTGTAGATCACTGTTAAATTCAGCTGTAATCTCTGGTTCCTAACGCAGCTTTATTCCCAGGCTTCATTTTTCTCCATCGGAAACAACTATGCATACCCCACTACATGAAAGCCACCGTTCACCCATTGCCCACACACACTGTTCACCGCATATCTCAAGTCAGTTCTGCTTCCCACCAAGCCTGCCTGGCTCCCAACTTCCACCCAGTCATAGGTCCTGTTACACAAAATAGAATGGCTATTTGAACTAAAACTTACTGAGATTCTTCATTTGCTTAGAATATTGTCCCGCCAATGTTTTCTGGATTATGTGTGGTCGACCTGTGCTTTTCTGAAACAAAAACAATTGCAGACAATTGAAAAGCAAGATGTGAGTATGCCTCTATGGAATAGTGTTAGAACTTTCCTAACATCCTTCCTAAAATGGGGACATTTATATGCTAATGTTTTAGTTATCAAGAATGAAAAGTAGCCCGGCCAGCATGGCTCATTGGTTCAGCATCAACCTATGAACCAGGAGGTCACAGTTCGATTCCTGGTCAGGGCACATGCCCGGTTTGTGGGCTCGATCCCCAGTAGGAGGCATGCAGGAGGCAGCAGATCAATGACTCTCTTTCAACATTGATTTTTTATCTCTCCCTCTCCCTTTCTCTCTCTAAAATCAATAAAAATATTCTTTTTTAAATGAAAAGTATATGTTGTATTGAAACTTTAATTTTAGATAAAATAGAGCATCATCCAATTGTTCCAGTTTAAATAAAAGCAGTAATTTTATTAGCTACTCTTAAGTCTTAGCTTTCTCCAAAGCCATGAATAAGAAATTCACAAGAAAAACACAAATGATCAATGAATATATGAAGAAGTAATGAATATTTAATATTCCTTCAAAATGAAAAAACTTTTTAAAGATATACCAATTTGTGCCTTCAAATTGGCAAAGGTTTAAAAATTATGATAACCAAAGTTAATTATAGCTACAAGGCAAAAAGCACACTTATATACTGCTGATAGGAGAATATTGGAAGCATAGTTCAAAGAGAAATTTAGCAATTCTATCAACAGCCTTGAAAACATTAATATCCTTTGCCCTAGAAATTACACTTCTAGAAACATCTTATTTCCATTACTATTATTACTGTTAGTTCCCATTACTGAGCACATGGTATGTGCCAGGCACTGTTAATGACCACGTTACGCAATTTAATCCTCATAAGAACTCCATACGGTGCGTATCTTATCCTCATTTCACAAATAAAGACATGGACGCTCAGAGAGATACATTGCTGAATTAAAATTACATTACAAAATAATGACCCAATTTATTTTTAAGCATGTGGGAATATATCATTGCAAACTGGAAGAATGTGCACTGAAAAGTAGAAGGTAAGTTATTTCTGGGGGATGGGATGATATGTAATTACTATTTAGTTAAGTTTTTGTTTCTTTTGCTTTTCCAATTTCCTACACTATATCAGTTTTACAAGCAGAAAAATAGTTTATAAAAAGAGTATTCTTAATAGATTCCATAAAAGACATAATAATTACAAGTTTTACTATTCACTTACTACTTAACAGATAACAAATTCTCTTTAGAAATATCCCATCCTTATTATTTGACTTATTGTAAAGCATACCAAAATTAATAATAATAAACAAAATATCCAAAAAAATCTAAATTTGAGTAAAATAAACTCTTAATTCTGGTAACAGGTGAAAAGATATCTAGAGATATGAGACTCACAACTGGATCAGCAAGACAATTTTAAAAACTGACTAATTCAAAGTACTGTTCCTTTCCCTCCACTAGCAGTGAAGATGAGAACAAATTGTTACATGACACTAAATAAATCAGACAGAGAAAGACAAATACCGTATGGTTTCCCTTATACGTGGAAACTAAAGAACAAAACAAACAAACAAACAAAAGAGAAACAGAGACAGAGATGCAAAGAACAGACTGATGTGATGGTTGCCAGATGGAAGGGTAAAAAAGGGGGCGGGATTAAGAAATACAAATCGGTAGTTACAAAATAGTCACAAGGATTTAAAGTACAGCATACGGAATATAGTTAATAATATTGTAATAACTATGAATGGTGCTAGGTGAGTACTAAACTTATCAAGCGAAGCACGTCATAAGTTATATAAACGTCTAACCACTATGCACCTGAAACTAATATAATATTGAATGTCAACTGTAATAGAAAAAAACACATAATAAAAATTGGGGGGGAAAAGGTAGGCAGTAAGAAAGAAGGCAAAAAAGAAAAGGCATTAAGTATGTAACAATCAACCCCAGAAGAATATGACTACGGGCATAACAATGCAAAACCAATGCTATGAACATTAGGATAATAGCAGCTTATATTTATAAATCCCTTCAGTTTATTAGATACAATCCCATACATTTACTAATTCATCAAATCTACAGAATGTCCTCTCTGCTCTTTCTGTAGACTGGGAAGAACTGTCTTTCACTTCAGAAAACCTAGGTCGGTTGGGTCTCACCATCCCTTCCTGGTGTGTGGCCTGGGATGTGCAACGTAAGCTTCAAAATTCATGATGTCATTCTAAGTTTGAAACAGGTACTATGTATAAAATGCACATCAAAACCTACATTATGTTCTCTTTATTGTTCAAAAGCAAAGATACTGAAAGAATAAAACACCATAAGGAAATTGATGTCACAGCCAGACGTACCTCATCATGAATCAGCTCCAGTGGTTCAATCATGTACACATAGGTATCATCTTCAAACATACCACTGCAACGCAAGAAACCGCATAAGGAGAGAATTAACAACTATAGCAAACAGCAAGAAACAGCAGAGGAGCTTCAAATTGCATCTTTAAAGATAAAGAATATATCTAAATAAATACCTTTATACTGCCGCAACTCTAAACCATATATCTGTATGGAATCCCACAGTGGTCCCCACACTATACTAGACAGCGCATAGGCTACACAGTGTGTAAAAAGTGTATACCAAAGACCATACAAATTATATGTGATATAATTAATTTTTGAAATTAAATGGACAGATTAGAAGATTAATCTGGGACTGGACCATTCATGCAGTGCCAGTATTGCTGGTTATTATTCCAGAATAATCCACAACTAGTCCAAATTTCTTACTATGCAAATCCAATATCATCTATAAGAAAATAGGTTCTTCATATATAACAAAAATCTAAAACCATCTGATTCTGAAAAGGCAAATAGAAGTAACTTCATGCTTGCAAGTTGTGAATTTCCATTAAGTACTATGATTCTGTGCTGAAAATTACATTCAATTTTCAGAGATACAGGATTTTTTATTATGTGCAAAGATTAAGATTTTCAAGATCCTTTTTCCTCACCTGAGCACAAATAGATCTTTAAGTGACATGTTTGTGACATTCTGTGTTTGGGGCTAAAGGTGCCTACAGATGTTTTTAAGCCTGCCTCAAAGCTGATGCATGAGCTCCTCTCTTTCACGCCCACCCTCAGCTGGCTAACTCCCAGCTCTCCTTAGGTCTAACCTGACTGATATGTCCTCTGGCATCCACCTCTGAGAAACCTTCCTGGATCTAGGTCGCCCTATAAGTCTCTGTCCTCCCTTCCCCTTCACAGTACCTCCCAAAAAGGCAAATTAAATATTAATCTGTGTATCATTTATTTAATCTCCAGAATTGCCTGCAAACCCTAAGTGTTGTAGAGACTATGCCCTCCTTGTTCATCACTCCACATCCAGGCCCAAACAGGAGACTGGTACAGAAGAGTCACTACAATGCACATCTGTGAAGGAAAAGTTGGAAAGAATGAATGATGAAAGCAAGTTCATTCTCCCAGTGCGAGTCCCACGTACTGAAGTCCATTGCAGGTTGACAGAGCTGCCCTGGAGTCCTTGACACCTCGGATGCTTCCATGGTAGTAACAGTGCTCTCCACCCTACAATGCAGAAGAAGGTTTGAGAAATTATGCTTTCTACATCATGATTCACTCTTCGAGCTGCTTCTATAAAGCAAAAAGGACTGCCAGGATGGTCCTAGAAACTCCTCCTGGTTAATAAGGAGTGCTAGGCAATTTTTCAACTTTTCCATGACAAGCATGTGTATATAAAATTTAATGAAGGAGAAAAAGCTTTACAGGAATAAGACACCAGTGCAATTGGTACAACTTATGTACCTTTCCTAAGCATTAAGGGAGCAGACATTTAACTGATATTGTTTTGGTATAAGGTCTCCTACCTAACTGAGAAGAGACCCAATGTTGTTATTTATAATCATTTCTTACGAAAAATAAAATAAAACCTTATTATTTCTTTTCCTACTTTTTAAAATTAGGTGTTTTTTTTAATTTTTGGAAATAACATACAACTTAGTTTTCAAAATCAAATAGTAACTACAAGACCTATTTTTAAAAATATATAGCAATTTCCTTTCTCCCTCTCTCCTCACCTTCGCAGCAATCATTTTAAACCCCTTTAGCTGCTTCTTCTGTTGTTTACCTATGTATTTCTGAATGGAATATTTAGACTCCTGTGTTCTGGATTATTTCACTTTAGAAATTATCTTCCTACTATAGAATCTTAAAAAACCCCTCTTGCCGCCAATACATTCCAATACCCATCACCAGTTTTGGGTTAAATTGATATTTAGTGTTTATATTACAACTATGCAAATACTGTGCATGGCTATGCCACTGTGATTACATTTTCTTTTTTAGTCCATTTTTAATTTTTTCAAGAATTTTTGCTTCGTTTTCTTATTTCCTGATTTTCCCATGTATTTAATAGCCCCCATTATCTAAAGTGTTATCTACAACTCTTTCCTTTGGTCATATACATCAGGTAAATTATCAGACCCCTTTTGTTCCTGGAGAGACCCTTATGGTTTCCCTTCAACCTCCTGCTAGGCCTGATGAACATCTGCCAACCAGGACTTCTCTGTAGCATCACCCTGGGAACTCCCTTAGGCCCCCTTCTATATTGATTCCTATATTTCATGTCTTCTCCATTCATGGTCTCATCCTCTCCTTTTCTGGAGGCACACATCCTCTAGTACCTTCTTGAAAAAGTGCTCATGGGAGATAAATTTGGTGAGAACTTACACAAATGAAAATTTCTTTTTCTATCTTTACACTTGTGTGATCATTTGGGTGGGTAGAGAATTCTAGATTGGAAATTATTTTCTCTTGGCATTTTGATGACATTTTGCATAGTCTTACAGCTTCTAATGTTGCTGTTGTGAGTTGAATGTAATTTCAGTGTTAGATATTTTCTATCATATCTATTTTCCCATATCATAAAGACTTTAGGAAATTTTATTTATCACCATTTTCATAAAATGGCATGCACTCATGTGAGGCTTTGCATATTCATTATGCTGGGCACTCTGTTATACCTTTTAATCAAGAAAATGCATGCAGTTCAGTTCTTGGAAGCTTTTATTATTTCTCTGGTAATTCCCGCCTTTCCATACTTCTCTAAAAACTGACTTCTACCAGAGTACAGAAGATATGGCTGCCTGGCCACATGAGGTATGGAGTAGATCAGATATTTAAATAGACTCCATATAGACTTTCAACCAACCTTCTGTTTTCATGTGCCTACAGTTCCTGAGCCTTTCTGGTGACGTGACGAGCTGCCTGGCTTCTTCTGGACTTGCCCAGAAAAACTTAGCAGAGCACAAAATGCTTCAACCTCAGACAGTTATTACTCATCCATCCGCTTTCCCTCTCCTACAACTTTATGGACACTACTCATCTGCTGTCTTTGTTCTCTTGTCTTGCCCTTTTTTATTTCTTAACTGCTAATTAAGTGGGTTATGGGAGTAGATAAATATAAGCATTGAATCAGCACTGTTTAACCAGAAATTTCCTAATTGTTTTCTTAAACAGGGTATACTGGACATACTTTGACTTTTTATTAATGATTTACAGCCATTCTGGTCACTGCTCTTTATACAATAGCCTCAGAGGCTATTTAAAGTGACTAATGGTGTTTCTCCATGCACCAAATGACCACTCCCCAACCAACTCAATTTGTTTCCTCTTAGTAAGTATAATACAAATTTTCAATGTTGGTCGTCTAAATTTGGTAATATAACCTTGTTGATATTTTATAAAGCGTTGCTTTCCAGTTCTCAAAAAACAACCTTGTATATAAATATTGACTTGTATATAATATGTCAAATTCCATTTGCATATTCACCTCTGGAACTTATAAGGACAAATGATACCACACATCTCAGCATTTTAAGAATCCAGGTCTGCCATTAAACTTCAGACTCTTCACATGATTCTAAAAGCAGTCATAGGTAACTGTAAATTCCATCAAAACTGGTTATTTAGTGCTTTGTATCATACAAAAAAGCTATCTTAAGTCAGGTGATTATTAGAAGTGCATAGTGAACTCTGTCATATTTACTTGACCTTTCTAAGAAAAACTGTATTTTCCAGACACTCCTAAAAAGATTCATTTTTCCCCAGAAGATATTTCCATGTCTTAGATTTTAGTTTCATTCAATTGCAATGGAAGCTGAAGGATGATGCTCTCAGTATAAAGGTCATTGTTATCTGTTTTAATTAAGGCAGGATATTATCTAAAGGAAACTACTTTAGTTCCCTGTATATTTAAATGTGGAGCACCATATTTTCTGAACCTGAAATGAGACTTGAGGTAACATCCAATCCCTGATGTTAAAAAAATTGTTTCTATCATCATAAAAAAGTGTTACTATCTAATTGTGTAGTTATACCAAGCACTATAAGTAATTTGGCAGGTTCTAATTCAGTATTGGTATTAGTAGTATTAGAGGATTTTCTGCATTGCTAATTACTAAATTTATACCAAGTTTTAAAGAAAGTATTAAAAGAAAAATACTACTTGGCAACTCTCCGGATCTATGCAGCATTTTGTAAATACTACTGCAAAGTAACATCTCAAGGTATTTCGTATTAAATAACCCAGTTGAAAAGAGGCATTCCCTCTTGGGTAATGGGTAACTTTAGTGGACCAGGGCAAAGAGGCCACTTCTAGACGGCTTTGCTAACAGTGACAGTGGGCAGCCAGCTCTGGGGTGCCTTCCACACAAGGACTGGCCATCTTGAAACTCACTATCTCACAGTAATTACTATCTCCATGTACAGATAGGGAGACAGTCACAAGGTGTCAAACGGTTCTGGCAACAACAGCAAAAACCATAATGAACCCACATCTTCAGGCTCTCAAACTAGTGTTTCTCCAGTCAGGAAGCCTCACATAGTTCAAGAGTGCAGGCCAGTGAATTAGAGATCACACCTAAGAGTGGGACACAGATCCGTGACTAGGCAAACAGCAGGCAGGAGGACCAAAAGGGCTCATTCACTGTACGACACAAGTCTATGTGGGCCCCCAGGGGCATTTTGGGATTCAAAACTGTCAGTCAGTTAATTAAATTGAACAAAACGGAGCATCTGATATGTGAAAGTTATTGGTTAGTCAAAGGAACTTAAAAATCCTAGTAAGTATGCGCCCAACTTTCTCAGCCTACCACTTGCACAGAGCTGAACACCCCACAGACAGATAAAGCTCAAATAATGGTAACCAGGCTCCACAAGGTAGCCAAGCTAAAAAGCCTATTGGAAGCCACCAGGCCACCCTGCAAATATTGAAACAGGGAAGCCGTGAGCATGCTTTAAGGCTCTTCCTAATCAGAAGTGGCTGGGGTAGCAACTTTGTGAGTCTAGTGATAACAGCACAGAGGGGGAAAGATTTGGTTCCTTGGTATTACTGACCAATGCAAGAATGTTTTTTCATTCTACTCACTTTCAATACAACCTATTGGAAAATAGAATCCACTGGAAATAGAGCCTATTGTTTTAATTTATTTTAAAATTGCCCCGCCTTTGAGCCCATTTAATTATCTCATCTGCTTCAGTGAAGTTCTGTCACCCAGTTCTTATCATTTTCACTGCTTAAGAAACTCTCAGAAACTTGGCTGTTCATGGTGACTAAACTCTGACTTTTTTCAACTGATTCCTGAACATGTGGATAAACATCTGAAAAGAAACTACATAGGCCTTAGCTCATACTTAATATTCCAGATTCTATAATAAAATATAATATATTCACTATTCTATATTCATATCTTTAAACACCTCAAACTTATCAGCCAGCAGGGTATATCAATCCTATTTAATAAATCAGTGGGCTGGTAGCAAAAGAGAAAAAGATATCTATAATTAGACACATTTACCTGAATCTGAATAAGAAAATGAAAAAAATATTTTAGAGAATCAGAGAACTGGTGACCCCAACACCAGTTTAATTATTTACCTTTATTAAACTGAATG